ACCAAAAATATTAATGAAAAACCGCGCACTTTATAAAATAAAATAATTATAATTGAAAGGCAGGTACTACAATATGAAAATAAAATTAATTTTTTTCCGATTACATAAAAAAAAATAGATGTTTTTAAAATTATATTTAATATTTTGTATTGAATTACTTTATATAATCCATTTTTCAATTGTAAATTAATATTAAATTATATAACAAGATAACAATATGAAAATTGTGTTAATAATGATGTTAATTCGAAACGATAAAATTGGTTTTAATAATAATTGCTATTATTATATTTGAAAATTATAAAAATGAAATTATAATTATAAAAGAATTACAACTTTTTTTATAATACTCGTATTAATTGTGTAAAATTAATTTTGAATAATAAAACGACTTAAATACAAAGATAATAAAAAAAACTCATATTAGTGACTCATTTTTAAAAAAACTTCAGTCCATCTCACTCATAATTTATAAATAGTATATATATATGTTCCCTATACAACTAAGTTGGCCATTTTGTGTCGTAAACTAAAATATACATAAAGCTATAGGAATAAATAATGGTAATAGTAATATTTATTGCAAAAATTTCATAAACTTTATTGTTGACATGAATCATTTATATGAGTCGGTTTGTGTTTACACTAATAATATCGAATTATTTACTTTGCAAAATACGAAAGGCAATAAAATTTGTTGATTCGGTTATCTAAAACTGAAACTAAGACGTCACTTCTCTGATCATGTTCATACGAATTCTCAAACTCTTAAATACTTTTAAGAGTTTGAAAATTCGTAAACCGGTCTAGAGAATTTACTCACAAAATTTTAATTTTATACACTTATGAGAACGATTCAGGAATTTTTTAAATTTTGAAACATAAAAACGAGCGGACAATATAAAAGTTAGAAGCACGTTTTAAAATATTTTTCAGAAATGTGCTGGGAATAGAAACAATTTTCTTATAATTCAAGAAAAAAAGAATAGAAAAACTTTAAAAATGAATAAATATTTCATAAATTTAAAATCTCTAAAATCTCCTAGTTCGCCCAGGTAGCTCTCCATTTGTTCCAAAAACTTAAATAAAAAAAAATGAACTTATTATTGAAATAAAAATGGATAAAATACAATAAAAATCAAAATTAAATCTATGACCCCGCTCCAAATATTTTCACCACTATTTTTTTATTTTTTTTTTTCTTACTTGTTTTCCTTTTTCTTTTCCTATACGAAATAACTTAAAAAAATAATATTATGGTAACAACTAAAAAAAACTCATAACAATAAAGAAGAACAGGCAAATGAAACGGTGAGAAAATAAAAAAAAAATGAATGAACAAAAAAAGTTTTCAAAAACTAATCAAAACTACATTTACTAAGAAACGGTAATTTTTAATATTTGTTTTTTTTTTTTTTATATTTTTATTATTTTTCTATTTTATGTCAAGAACTTCAAAGTTTTTTCTCTTCTTTTCGTTTTGTTTCTCTTTTTTTTTATTTGTTATTCTTCTTGGAGGCTATTGTTTTTTTTCCTTACGTTTTTATTATTGTTTTTGGTGCTGCCGTTGTTTTGTTTTTTTTTTGCCTTTCTATAATGCAATTTTCTGCCTTTCAGTTTGTTTTTTCTATCATTATTTTGTTATACTCTAATATTCAATAATATTCAATAACCTTCGATTTTTTTTTTTCTTGTTCTCTGTATTGCTTTTCGACTATATAATTTAAAACTATTTTAATAATATACGAATATACTAACGATACGAGTATACTACATTATAATAACTATATAACGGTATACTTGTATACAAGTTATGTTCATAAATATATCTATAATAATTATAAGAACAAAAATATAATATCCTTATTGGAAAATTTCCAAAAACTTTATTCAAAAAAAAATAAAAACTTGATTATATAAAGGAAAACAAGAACAACAAAAAAAATTCTTTTCAAGACAACTTTTACCAGTAAATACCAGTTACCAGAGCAGTTGTGTTTAACGATTTTTGATTTCATTCTCTCTTCTTTCTTGTTCTTCTTATTTTGTTTTTACTTTTCCTTAAATATTTTTTGCTTTCTTTTTTGTTGCATTTTGAATCCCGAAATTTTATGCTTAAAGTTGAAAAGAATAAAAAAAAATTGAAAAAAATAAATTCATATTTGAAATTTCAGGAAACACCTGTTTTCCGTTTTTGTTTTGAAAAAAGCAATAAAATTATTCCGTACCTTAATAAAAAAAAAAAACAAGAGAATTGTTTTCGTAAAAAAAAAAACACAAATGAGACCCTGAAATGTGCATAATAAATAGAGAAAATATTTTTTATAAATTCTCAAAAATCTCATTTACAAAAAAATTTTAATTCTCCTATTTTAAAAATTAACCATGCGCAATAAATAAAATTGCATATTTTTGGGCAATTAATATGTGAAATTTTTATAAAATATTTTCCCTATATATAAAATTTTCTCTCTCACCACATTCTTCCCATCTGTTTCAATTTTCAAATTGCAATGCAATCTCTTACTATATTAGAATTGTTTTTAAGAAAATCAAAAATAACAAAAATTAAAATAAATATTTTTATTCAATTACCCCTTTTCTCCTTTCCTCCCTCTCTCACACCCTTTGATTTTATAAAAATTTCCTTAAAAATATTACCAAATTTACAATAAAAACATAAAAGGAATTTTTTGTTTTTTTTTTTTTTAGAATACGCATGTGACCAAAATGTTCTCATTTTAATTTAATATTATACAAACATACACACCCACACACACAGTTGACAATGACAGTACCTGTAAAAATATTATGATAACAAAATAGCAAAACACAAGAAAATAAATCTAGAACAAAACAATTACGGATAAGGAGAATAAAATAGGAGAATCAATAAAAAAATTCATAGTTTGTAGTATAGAGGAGTATAGGGAAAGGAAGAGAAGAGAGCAATAAAGGTCATCCTGACTATATTGAGTATTAGAATTTCATTTTTTTTTTCTGTTTTGTTTTGCTTTATGTTTTAAAAATTATGCATTTACGGTATTGTATTTTCATTGTACTTTATTTATATCGTAAAAATATTTTTTTTTTTTTAATATTTCAATGAATATTTTAGGAAATATTTAAAAAATTATTTTTATGTATCGTAATTTTTCTCTCGTAAATTTACGATATTAAATCCATTCTCTATAATGTATATTCATAGCTTTATATCATAAATTTTACCACAGTAGCACAATATAAGGATAAGAAAGAAAATATTTTGAAAAATTAAATTTTTGTATATTGTGACAAAAAATAAAACATTTCAGTTAATCGCGACTATTTTCATTCTCCACTTACCCTTAACTAACTTTTTTTAAATAGAATTTTTCCTATACTTCCTATACAATATAATTTTTTTTTTTATTTTTCATAATTCCAATAATTTTTTAATATATGTATTTGAATTATGTTTAAATTATAATTTTTTTCTTATTTTCATTTCTTTTTTTTGTTGTGAATATTCTTTGTTTCGCTATATTACTCGTATGTATTGAAACTTTGCTAATTAATTTTTATTTTAAATAATATTTTATTAAATTTGTTATTGTTTGTTAAAGAATAATATCTTAAAAATTATTTTAAATTTCTTGCAAAATTTCCTATTACATTCCTATAATTACATACATAAATAATAAATTGTATATATATATATATATATATATATATATTTGAGGAGTATAAAGTACATGCATTGTTTATTTTTCTTCCGGTATAATTATATTTGCATATAATACAATCAAGTGCGTGTGTGTATAAAATGTAACAAAATTAATATAAAACAAGAAGAAAATAAACTGGGGTATAAGACGAAAGTAAATTGAAATTTAAATTTTATTATTTTTTTTTTTAAATTTTAATTTTAAACAAGTAATTTTTCGCATACTTTAAAATTCATATTTTGGCATTATTTTTAAGCATGAGTTGAGTACATTTGTACTCATATTTTAATTTTTAATATTGTTTTGTTGCTCTTTTCTCTTCTAATACAAAAAAACTCTACCGTTGTAGAGTAGGTAAGCAACGGTACTGTTATATTTTTTTTTTTATTTTAATATATTTTTATATATTCTCTTACAAAATGATTGCTTCTCATTTTAATTTCATTAACATTTTATTTTTTCTTGTTTTCTCATACCATAATTTTTTTAAAACTCTTTTATTTTGTTATTTTGTGTTTGAAATGTTCATTTTATTGTTTTAATGTTTATTATTGTTGCTTTTCCTTTCTTCTACTTTTCTTTCTTAATTTGACTTTTTAATTATATCTTAACGGGAATTTTATGATAATAATTAAAAATCAAAATACACAAGAAAGCAAAAGAGAAAGAGAAAAAATATAAAGAATTTATTATTATTATTGTTATATTTAACTCATTTAGATAAAATAAAAAAAATATAATTCGGAAATCAAACTAAGATTAAGAATAAATTAAATATGGCAATAATGAATGAATTGCATATTGAGAAAGAAAGCTATATAATATCATGAAAAGAATAAAGAAAATATTAAAAAGAAACATTTTTTTCATAAATCGCCCCAATAATATAATATAAACAAAAGGAAGGAAAAGGGCTATAATATTGTGTAAGAGAAGTATATTTTGTGAATAGCAGCGTATATATATTCCTACATTCATATGTATATACTTATCATTAATAAATCGCGATTATAATAAACAAAACCAGTAATCAGAACTAATATTGGAAAAGTATAAATAACTGTGAAGAAGAAATTCGATCCATAACAAATACCTATATAATATAACACTTTTATAATCGAACTTTTTCATCCTTCATTTTTCACATTATTTTGCTTTTGTTTGTATTTTTTTTTTGGTTAACAATGTATGTATTTAAAGTTTTTATTAATAAATAATATTTTGTGTGTTTAGCTTTCACTTATTCATTATCTTTATATGCGTGTTGGATTGCGTGTCTTAATTGCAAAAAACCAAAAAAAAAAAGGTATACATTGAAAATTAATTAAGAATAAAACTGTGAAAAATACACGAACAAATAAATAAATAAAACAAACTTAACTATGAATATATAACAAAAATGAAATATAAATATAATATAACAGTAAAAATAAAGTCAACAAAGTTATATAAAAAAATATCAAAAATAAAAGACTTCATTAAACCGTATATAAATATGAATGGGCAGTATTTTTACTTCCTGTAAAACTAAATTGGATTAAGTTGTTGTTTTTTTATTCATTTTATATTCTTTTAATATCATATATATATATATATATATATATATATATATATATATACAAACACCTATAACTATAAATATTTTAATAATATAATTCATATTCACGCAGCATATACAATCATACACACATATTTAATACAAATTATTTTATGCAAAATTTATTTTGATTTATTTATGATTATTGTGAATTTCAAACGGAAACGGAAATTAATACAAATAATATTATATTATATAATATGAAAAATGTAGAGATTTTATATTGGTATAAAATAAAATTTTGTTTTGATTGTGTATAAATTTATTAAAATTTAAAATATAAATTTAAAAAAAAAAAAAAAATTTTTTTTTTCAAAATTTTCATATTAAAAATTATTGTGAATAATATTTCATTATCATTTATATAACAATAAAAAAATAAATTAATAAAAGAGAATGTTGTTTTAAATTTGGGAAAAATTTATATTAAAGAGCCTAGAATAGGGTTAATATTTGGCCATTATAAAAAAACGATAAACGAGGAAACGTGCTGAATAATAATTTAAAATAAAATTTTTAAAATACTTGCAATTAAATAAAAATGTTAGATAAAATGTGAAATTTTCCTAATTAATGAATTAAAATTCAATTGTATATGAAAAATTAATTGAAAATTTTCTTGTAATTTTGAATAAAAATGTCATTACAAAAAAAATATTTTATTATTTAATTTTGGTGTGAATGAAATTGAAAAATATATTTAAAAAATTTTTACTACAATAAAATAAATTAAATAAATTTAAACTAAATTAAATTTATTTTTAATAGTTTTGTGGTATAATTTTATATTGTACAACAAATTTTATGAAATTTCAATTCAAAAATTTCTAATTATTCGAAATGAGAGTAAGTTTATTGAATTATCTTGAGAAAAGTGAATTTTAGAAGATTATTTTTGGAAAAAAATTTTATTTATTTAAATATTTTTTTAAGATAATGAAAATACAATTAAGATACTTTCGATTATACTTGCCTCTTCATTCTCAATGCTTTCCAGTAATGATTTAAGAATGAGAACAATCAAATTGATGAGAAACTAGAAATATTTGACACAGTTTTTTTTTTAAAATTAACACATAAAATTTTATTGGAGCACGCAATTTTCTGGTTTACAACAATACTGCTCCCTTTATTCCATAATAAATTATTTCAGTTGAATTTGGGTAAAAAATATCAAGAAACTGGGAATGTCTCTATTGACCACATTACTTTTCTAGTAGTTTGAGTTTCTTTTCTTGAAAAATTTTTTTTACACCTCACACAAGTAAAAACATTGATTTCTTTGCAAATTTTCTCTCTTACAATTAGAACATTTTGTATCTCAAAATTACCTCAATTTAAAATGCTGTTTTTAAAAAAAAAACTCGGTTCCTTGAAATTCCGAAACTCAATTTTAATCCCGTACGTTCAACTCAATTTTATTATTTATTATATTCCTCGAAGGACGCAATAGAAAGTTCATTATAAAGGTTCAATAATTCAAAAAATTATTTTTCATAATATCCGGTTTCATCTCACACAAAAATATTTTACATATACGATTACATTGAAGCAGTCAATTCTATACGTAATGCAGCCTACTTAAAAAAAAATGTTCATTAGAATTAAGAATTAAAATTATGGTACTTATGGATATTTTTTTAAAAAAATAATTAAAGTATTAAGTAAATTGAAAATTTATAATATTAATTATTAAGTGATTAAAATTTTATTAATAAATTTTGAACAATTGATTCCGAGGAAAATTGCATCCTTTTAATTTTTATTTTTCTATCAGAAGTTGAAAAATATACATAATACATGTACATTTATTCGACATAACTTTTGGGTGGAAGGAGTGTAAAATATATTCAAATTGGTAAATTTGGGGGTTTATTTTATTTTTTGTAACTTAATGTAACAATGAGTAACGACAATAGTGTTTATAACTACATATAAAAGTTTATAAGAGTATATAAGGGTCTATAAGGGTATATAAGGGTATATAAGGGTATATATAAGGATAAGCGAGTTGTTTTAAGAAAGAGCAGTTCACTCTTCTCGAATACTCCTTTAAATATGGTCGGGCAATTAACAGTACTGTACAGATGTCATGCTTTATACAATGATTTAGATAACACTTTAACATAATGTAATAATAATGATTATTTTTACAATAACAATGAATATTTCATTTTTTTTTATTAATCATTGATCTTAATAAAAAAACTTCATTTTGTGACTTAGTATTTTGCTTGACCTTAATAGCTTTAATAGCTATTAACCCTTTCGACCCGGCTGGTACACATATTTACCAGTAAAGTCTAAACATTTTTGAAAGTAAAAAAAATTACGTTGTATTTGGTTATCTATTGCATCATTTCGTTTCTACACAGGAAAAATGTGCTAGTTACACTATTCGAAAGCCGGGTCGAATGAGTTAAGTCTATTAATTTCAAGCTATGTCATCATTCAAATAATATTCCAAGTTCCGAATTAATGCTCGTCCTTAATGATTTTATAAGGTCCTAAACTTAATATTTCTTTTCAAGAAATTTCATAATTTATTTTCATTCCATAATAACTAACATGGAAACTAAACTTTCCCATGCAGATAAGGGCTACAATAATTTATTTTAAAATTTAAAAAAAAAATTTCGGTATCATTTTAAAACTCTTTCAAGTTTTTAAATCGAATCTCAAATAATAATTTTTTTGGACCCATTTCAAAATTTCCTTTTATTATTTCCTTCCATTTAAAAAATAAATATGTATGTATACAAAATTCCGAAAAAAAATTAAAATACTTATAATTTGAAAAAAACCTAGAAAAAAAAAGCATTGCTTCGGGCAGATATCAACTTGAATATGAAGATAACATTGAAATAAAATTTGGCACAAAAAAAAAAAATTAATTGGAAAATTTCTAAATTATAAAAAAAATTTCTTTTTTTGGTCAAGGTCAATAGTATACTTGTGGCTGCCCAGAAAAGCATTTGGAATCCGAACAAAAGCCTAAAGAATGAAATTTATTATACAAAATAAAAAGACTGTATATGAAATTTCAGTCTTTTGTTAAAATTTCTTTAAAATTTTTCCTCGTTTCGACAATATCATTTTAGTTTTTCTGAAATATATTGCATTATATTTTTCTCTCAAATTGTGAGAGATAAAATTAAAAATTGAAAAATAAAAACAATGATTTGTTTTCGGCTATTATGTTATTGACAATAACATAAACACACGTATAAATAAAAATTTACAAATTCCCGAAATGTGGACATTAAAGAACATTAAGGAACAAATTGGAAAATGACTAATAACAAGCAATTAGAATATAAAATTGAAAAAAAACACCACAAAAAAATATGTCATGACATACCTTGAATTCAAAAGTTTTCTGAAATAGTTTCACAAAGAAAGTTATTGGCAAACATATTAATTTTTTCAAAGAAATAAATAAATTTTTATATTATAATTTAAATAAGCTGGTAACACTATATGCTATTGAGATTTTCTCTTTTTACATACATATACAAAAATTTTCCAGCATAGTTCTATACAGAGCGCCTTTAACGGTAACTGCGTCGCCATGTCCATCTGCAAATAAATATGGGCCAATTATCCTTTCGGACGATATACCGCACCAAACAGTACATTTAAGTGGATGTAATTGGCGCTGATGTACTGCTTGTGGGTTCTCCGTCGCCCATATTTTGCAGTTTTGCTTATTAACAAAACCATTTATTTGGAAGTGAGCTTCATCGCTCATTATCAAATTGTCTATGAAATTTGGATTTTCTTCTGCTTTTTGTTGGAAAGAAATGGCATAATCAAGCCTTTGTTGATAGTCTATCTGCTTCAACTCTTGTACAAGCTGAATTTTATATGGGAACATGCGTATTGAGGCCAAAATTCTCTGAAGGGATCTTCGTGATAGTCCCAGCTGTGTCGAACGTCTCCTTGTTGATGTTCCTGGATTCTCATCTACACTGTTGACTACACGTTCAACATTTTCCTCCGTTTGGACACGGTCTTCCACGAATTTGTACGTTTCTTACTGATCCATTTTCTTCAAAATGTCTTACCAGGCGGCTTATTGTTGCTGCAGAGGACAGATTCCGCACATTGAACTATCGCCGATATGCTCGGCGAGTTAAAGTAACTGACCTGTGATTTTGATAGTAAAATTCTATGATTTTTGTTCGCTGCTGCGTTGTATACTGGTCCATTATAAATTTGCCAAGCCTTGTTTACAAGATTCTGAAATAAAAAAAAAAAATTAATAAATAAAAAAGTTATCAAGAATTCAAAACATATCGTTCCTTTTGCGCCACCCTGTATAAATTGAATTCCACTCAGAATTCAACCATCGAATTTTAGTTAAAAATTTTACCTGTATAGTTCGAAAATCCTCTTCTCTTCAAATAATCTTACTCTTATATACTTCATTTGTTCACTCTTCGTTATCTTCATATCAAGCTCAAAAATTCTCATTTCGCTTTTCTACGTATTCAAAACTCTTTTCCTCCTTTTCTCCTTATTCAGGTGTGAAATTATTTTATAATGTATAAAAACTTTCAAGTTCAGTCTATTTTATTCGGCCTTCTGACTCAACATTCAAAATTTTTCAGTTCAATATTAATGTGCAAAACTGACGGTCTTACATCGCATATTTTATTTTTGAGGAAATGTTTTAAGTATCCAATTAAGCTGTCCATTAGACTGGTACGCATACCAATGAAATAAAATTGAATTTTTCCGACTAAAATAAAATTGAATACAAAAAATTTTCTTTTGAAATTTCTAAAGCTGGAAAACAATATATTAAACTAAATTTTTTTTTAAAACATCAGAGATAACATTGATTCTGTTTTAAATTTCCAAGTTTTCCCTCTAGCATTTAATTATAAAACATCCTTTTTCCTGAAAAAAAATAAATAAA